CAGTAACATCCACCCCCAAAAGCCCCTGCCCCAGGCTGAAAAAAGTGTAGGGACACCCCTGACGACAGGAATATGTATCCTTCCTAAGTCTATCCAAAACCCCAAAAAACTGGATGGAGTTCAGCTTTAAAATTTGTGAATAAGGCATGCTAGAGTACATACAGTAAGGTATGCCATGTTTCTTAGTGAAATGATGCCAAAAACAACTTGGAGTTGATTTCTAGCTGGGTGAATGCCGTTCGCACGGCAGTAATGCCATTGGATGGGGCCAAGGCCCATAGAAAAAAGTGGAGATCTATTATTTCATAGGGACCATCTAAAAATCTTAATTGTGCCTATGCAACACATCCATACATTTACATTTAGTCTTAAAGTCCTCCTGTAAATTAGCAATGCACTTTCCGGTCTGTGAGGGTGCTTAGGTACTGCGATGTCCACAGCCTGATGATAGTATACCCGCAGCGTGAGATCTAAGGCCCTGCTGCCTCTGCCTGCTAGTCTTAGGTGATTTGGTGATGTCACTCCTGTGTTGCTCGCTGTTCTCCTTGCTGGAGGCCCTGACATGGGGAAGGAAAGTCCTGCACAAGCAGGCGGTAGTAGTATAGGAGCAGGCAGAAGCGCAGTCAGAGATCAAGCCGAGGTCAGTAGCCAAAGGCATCAGGTATGAAGTGGAAGACGATGAGAGCAGTCTGTAAATCAGCAGCCAAAGGTCGGTACACGGTTAGCCGTATGAGAGGATTGTATCACAGGAGAAGCAAGATATTGGCAGGAGCACAATAATCTGGCAAACAGGAAGTGCAGAGGCGTGGCTTAAATAGGAAGTTCAAGGGAGGAGCAAGGCAGTTCAGCAGAAACTAGGTTTAAAGGAGAACTATGGGGTAAGTGTTTTTCCCCATAGTTCTCCTAAGGGTAACGGGAGGACACAAACTAGCGTCCTCCCGTCACCCTAAGCTGAGTATACCATGAGCTACAGTTCGCGGTATACTGAGACGCTGCAGCCGGGACGGATCGCGACAATACTGTCTGGATCCACCCAGCTGCGTGAGTGACAGCTGGCTCTGCCTATCTAGAGGCAGAGCCAGCTGTACCCACCCCTCCCCCGTCTGTTCCTCCAGTCAGCGCTGGAGGATCGGAGCAGGGAGGAGGGAATCCCTGCAGGGAGCCGTGAGTGACAGTCACCACTCTCTGCAGGGAGATGATAGAGAAGTGAGCGAGCGACGGTATGTGTTCGCTCACTTCCCGATCTATTGAGCCGACCTGTGACAGTTTCATTGTCACAGGGCGGCTAGAACTATGAGGCTGTGTGATTTTCACTTGCCTCATAGTTCTCCTTTAACTGAGGATTACACAGGAGATCAGGCCAAGAGCTATCCAAGGTTCTGAGGTGGCTCAGCAGGTAGAACCGCTGTCAGCTACAGCGGAGGCCCTGGGTTCAGATCCGGTTCCTGACAGCCAACTGATTACAGTATACATGCGGGCCTTCTTCATGGGGGCTACAATTCAGCATGTAGTATTAATATGTTATAAGAGAGATACAACAATACAATGTAATCCTAAAACAATCATATAAACTGCATACAATTCACAAGAATGGCAATGTAGGGGATTAGTACTCAACAGCATAAACAGTGATGGAACAAAAAGCAAAAGAACAAAGTATTCATAACATGAATCCAAAACCAAAGAGCTCACAAAACCTGAACAGAAAGATTATAGAGGAAATGTTTGTGGAAGACCTTTGTCACCCCAATAAAGGACATTTTTAAAGAAGACACCTCCTGCCAGTATTAAAGGGTATTTTCTGAGTATGACGGGATATTAGTCAAACAAATACATTCTTATAACTAAGCGGTGCCCACATGACATACTTCTTTTGAATGTTTGCCAATAGTTCTATTTTAAGGCAAAAGTCTATATTCACTAAGAATTATCACCGTTTTCATGCCTTAGATATAAATAGCACCTCTTCCTTCCTGGGATTATTTCGTTAGGTGTTAGGTGATTGCGGTGTGATGGAATTTCGACAAAAATTGAGCCGTTTCTGGCAATAACGATCTATAGTGAAGAGATAAGTAAAATAATGAAGACGAACAAAGAGCTGTTTTTTGGAGCAGGTCATAGTTAAAAGGAGCTTCCATTACCCTCAGGAGATATTTAAAGACCATTGCACCCTTAAAGGAAAACTATGTGGTGAGTGATTTTCAATCAATGACCAATGAAACTGTCACACGTCGGCTCAATAGATCGGGAAGTGAGCAAACACATACCGGCGCTCGCTCACTTCTTAATCCTATGCAATTGGTGGAGGTG